CTTGAGGAATGCGGTGATATCTTTGGGCTTGTTCGCCACCACATGCCACTTGAACTCTCTGTGAGTGATTCCTTTCTTCGTTGCCGCGAGCCTTACAGCGGGGTCTAAGTCTGGGATCAGCAAATAGGTGTCATTAAAGCGCTTGATATGCTAAGGAGGCTCTCTTGTGACCTCGGGCACTTCTTACTAGTGATGAAGTGCAAGGTGAACATTTGCGTGAACTACACCCAACTCTTGACAGCTCCAGGTGGGAGGTTTCTGTACCATGTGCGTGCTACCCCCTGAAGGTCGTAGAAAAGGCAATGCACATGCAAGCTTCATCAGCCCCAGTGAGGTGCATCTGGGACTGGAAAGAGTCCACATGATCATTCGGATCGAAAGACCTGTCATATTTGTCCAAGGAGGGCACTTTGAAGTCCTTCGGCATTGGAATGGCTAAGAGCTCGGAGGACAGAGGAGATGGGAAAGAGAGGAGAGGGGCGGCTTTTGCGACATCCGAGCTCGCCCCTACCTTACCTTTGGGCTGCTCGGGTCGGCTGGGTTCCGCGAGCTGATCTGGAACTATTGCCCAGCACACCTTAGGATGTCGTCTTCGTTGCTTCTTGACCGGGTCCGCGTTAGTGTTGCTTGCTTCGGTGCTGTCAAGCCGTGTCTTGGCTTGAAGAGAATCGAACTGTTGATATTGGCTTTCTCAAGCAGAGGGGTCTCGCACAGAGTCCATGGCCAAGGCTTTGAACCGGTTTCCTGTGAGTGAAGTTTTCAGTTGTGTGCGCTGGGGCAGATTGTCTTTGGTAGGCCGAGTATCTCTCGACCTGTCCTGTTGCTGCAAGGTGGGAAGGGCTACTTGTTTTCCCCTTCTGCTGCGGGATGAGACCTGGGAAGTCTCTCCTCGGTGAGGAGGGCGATTGCTGTGACGGTGGTTGAGCTGCTGTTGGTTCTGCGGCATCACCGGACACCGGGGTGGAGCTATCTGTTGGTTCGGTTGCAGTGATGGGAACTACCGCTGGTAGAAGTGATGCAGAACTTGCTGCTAGTAATGTTGGAACTGTTGAACTTGATGCATTTGAGCTTGAATAGCTCGCACATAGTGCACTAGGTCGCTTAGTTGGTTCTGCCCGACTCCGGGGGGAACCACGGAAGGTTCAATGGAAGTCGCACCCACGACAGGAGAAAGTGGGGCATTTATGGGCACAGTTAGCTGGGGCACAGTTAGTGTTGGGATCCCAACCACGTCGAACGGTATGATAAACTGACCTATGCAGACAGACGGGAACTGGGGTTGTCCCCCGACGGCATTTTTCTTCGTTGTGTTGTCCGGCATTGCTGGAGGCAGCCATGGATGAGCTAGAGGTTTTTGAAATGGAGATAAGAGGCTTTTAGTAACGGATTCTCATAGACGGCGCCAAATGATGTGGCATAATCCGACTGCTCCCTACTGGATACGATCTGGCTGCCAGCAGCGACGAGAACTGAGGTTCTTGAAACAAAGGAGTTAGAGATCCCAGGGTGGCTTGCCCGGTGGGGACACTCCGATGGCTAAGTTAGCATTTTGTAGTAGAGAGCTTGAAGATGATGTCAGAGAATTAGAGAGCTAGAGAGCAAGTCCTGAATTTCCACTGGGTTAATTCTCGTTACCGTGTTAGTTGAGAGTAACGTCTCCCGCAGTGAGGTCGGCCATCCCCGTCTGAATCGAGGAGTGGGTGAACTAATGTAGCTGTTACAAAGTACGGTCCCGTGGGATGCGAGGTACAGAGGTGCGCTCCTCGAGGTTGCCATGCGGAGGTCGGCCAGACTAGGTAGCGGGTTGCTTGTGAAGTGCCGGGCTGCTTGGTGGCGAGCTGTTTGAGCTCGTGCTCTTTAGACCCAATCTGCTCTGAATGTCGAAGTGCCTTAGTACCGAGGTGGTCTTACACTGAGGTGGGCCGTTCTCGTGGTGGACCTCGACGAGGTGGGCCTGACTGTCCGAGCTCGATCTGTACCCGACTTGGTACTGTTGTCCTGGTTTCGAACTGGCGTTGGGACGATCTTAGCCCGAAGTAACTTTAGCTCAGGGCACCAGGGTACCCCAGCTCGCTTTGTAGCGAGTTGATTTATGCTGAGCTGTCACCTACGTTGAGTGATGTCCACGTGTCTCCTGATTATGAGGTGTGGCCAAATTCCCCTTCATTAGTTGGGTTGGAGATTAAGAGGGAGAAAATAAAATAAATAAAAGGAGAGAGAGAGAGAGATTTTAAAATTGTGGGGTGGGTGGTGGCATATGCAAAAAGTTTCCATATGGATTGCTGAGAATCCTTTAAAAGGGTAGGATTGTCATTTTGAGAAAATGCATCAGTTGAACGTTTTCCGTCTGATTCAATGACGGGATGGAGGTATATGTAGAGTTTTCTAAGAGTTCAGGGAATGCTTTTCTTAAAGTAAAAGTTGAGAGAAGGTTTCTATGATTATCAGAAACTTCGGGAGTGGTTTTTACATTTTACCCTTAATTGAAAATATATACAACATTATTTATAAATATATTGCATATTTTAAGGCACCGTTTGATTCGGAAGAACCGGGTCCGAAATCAAAAGCGTTTGATTGGGCAAAATTAGAATCTGATTCCCATTTTGAGCGGAATGTGCGAATCGCATTCCCCGAATGCCATTCTCGCTCGTAGAAATAAGAAAAGTGAAAAATGAAATGACACAAAACCCCTCAAACTCTTCGCTCTACCCGATTCCTACTTTCTACTACCCCCTCTCCCTCGTCCTCATCTCTCGTCACTCCCTCCTCCGGCATCTAAACTGCTAAAGTATCGATCTGAACTCTCTGGCGACAACGAGGTAAGTCACCACTGATTTCTCTCTCCTCTTTCATCTTCTTCTTCTCCTCTCGCTCACACATTTTTTCATTCCTCCACTGTTTACTCGCTGTAGCAAACCAGACCACGAAGAACCATTTTCGAGTGCTCAGTTGCTCACTCTCATCCCTGCAATCAAGGTATAATTTATAGGCAGAATCATCCTCATCTGTAGGCTTGCTATTTAGTATTAACTTGTATAGCTATTTAACTTTTTTTTTTTGTAATCTTCAATAGGATATTCATAATAAATATATATCAACTGGGTTAAGGTTAGCATCACTGAGCTCATATTGCATAGTTGTGAGTGTAAGGCTTCCTATATTTTAATTTTGACTGGCCAAAAAATGGCAAATCTACTACCATATGATCTTCCGTTATTTCCTTCTTCCCCCTTTTCCCCTTTTTAATGGACCTGAGTTTTACAAAGATAAATGGTGACTATCTTTATTATAATTACTTGCTCCATTAGTCCTCTTTTAGCAGTTATTATTTGAATGAATAGGTTTTAGGATTTTATTGGTGCCTAACATCATCACAACAGCATATTAATAGCTTATTTAACGTTGAAACCTTAAAAAAGGTTGTGTGGTTGCAATGCCAAAGCTAAAACTGCAAAATTGATGCAAATGTAGAAAACCCTCGTTTGTGCAGGCGCTAAAACAAGAAACTAGAAATAGGAGGGACATGCAGCGCAATCACAAAATCCAATTTTGAAATCTAATATCAATATGAAAAGTCTATTTTGTAATTATAGCATCTGATTTTTTCTTAGTCTGTCCCTCAACCTCCAATTCACCCCAAATTCCTAATCAGACACCCCCAATCTCTCCAAAACACTCAAAAATCCAAAAATCCCAACTTTTAGCCCCAAAGCCCCTAAATCCACTATTAAACTCGCCTGATACCTATCTGATGGCCCCAATCAACCCCCACTTACACCTCACCCATTAAATCAGACACAACCATTAGACCTAGGACCTTCCAAAATACCTAACCATAAAATTTCAACTAAAGATTCCCTCGTTTCCCCCCTTATTAAACAAATATTCCATTTCGACTTCTCTCGTTAGTGTAGACACTCAGAACCTAGATTACATTGATCTTGACACATCCAAACCGATCAAAACACACCTTTAGACTCCGTACATACCATAATACCTGGTCATAAAAATTTCACCCTCATTCTCCCACTTGCCCTTCTATCAAACTGAGATTCGGTTTCGAAACATGTCGTTGACCCAAATACCCATATTTGAAATCTTAGCCTAAAATACCTCCATTTACCCTTCAATAACACCAAGATTCTATTTCAAGGTCCCAAATTGATCGAATTGCAAATCTACTTGATTTAGGCCCAGTTGGCTCAATATAACCTTACTAGTCATCTCAAAGAACCCAAAAACCCTATCTTGTGAATTTTCATCCAAAAAAAACTTATTTACCTCTCAATCGCACAAAGATTCCATTTTGAGCCCTAAGATTAATCGAATCAAACCTTTTTTGGATCTACCCAATTCGACGTAATTAGACCCAATCTAACCTTGCCAATCAAAGACTGGATCTGCTCCTCACACCAGACGCCTCACAAGCGCCTCGCATGCACATCCTATCATGCATTGGGAATATCTCTCGTACTTATTAGTTATAATTCACGGGAGATATTCCTAATGCACGGTGGATGTGCTTATGAGGTGCCCATTTGTGAGGAGCAGATCCCATCACCACCAATCACCTTAGACTACCCAAAAACCCTACCTTGTAAATTTTCATCTAAAACAGACCTTGTTTACTGCTTGATTGCACAAAGATTTCATTTCGATACCCTAGATTAACTGAATCGATCCCTTTCCAGATCTGCCCAATTCGAGCCCAGTTAGGCCAATCTGACTCCACCAATCAACTCAAAGTGCTAAAAAACCCCACCCTGTGAAATCTAAGTCAAAATTACCCTTATTCACCCATCCATCTAAAAAGGTTCCATTTAGGCCAGTCTCATGTGTCCACACATACAAAACCCTTATTTGCGGTTACACCCATCTTAACCCTCCAGTTTTTGCTCGAAACCATCCTCTGGACCCGGTTTAACCCCGCTTCCCGAAATTATCAAAATACCCCCATTTTGTCCAAAAGCCGAACCGAGGCTCTCTTTTTAAACCTAATCCGGAGGAGGTTAGAGAGGAAGCACTGTTCATTCTATTCTCTGCTCGAACCAGCAGCGGAACGACGAAGGATCTCGTTCCCCCACCGGCTTCTACCAACTCTGGTTGACTCTTTTCTCTCTCTATCTCGTTTTTCTTCTGCCACCTCTCTCTCTCTCTCTCAGTAAACCCTCTTCTTCTTCTCCTCGACTGCGACGCCGTCAGGCCGTTCTTCCCCCTGTTATCCGATTGTGAATGTAGCAGTGAAGGCCATTCGGTTTTCTCTCATTTTTGGTGGTTCCCTACCTTTTCCTGGAACCCTTTTTTCTTCCACCGTTCACAGAGGTTGCACCCCACATTTCGGCTTCACCTGACGACGTAACAATCCCCTGTTCTCCAAATTCATAGCCACTTGAGCAAGTTTTAACAGAGCAGTCATCATCAGAGTGTTCTCGGTTTCAGTCGAAAATCATACCCAGACTACCTTTTCGTCTCGCCAGGCTTTAGTACCGTTCTCCATCAAAGAAGAAGGTTAGACGTGAATCTCAGATCCCCTGTCCCAAGAACCGTGTTCAGGCCAACATCAGGTGAGATATGTTCAGCCTGTGTTATTTTGTTGTTATTCTGGCTTCTTGCCTAATTGTGTTTGCCTGATTTGCCGCAATGGATTAATCGAGTTTGAGAGGGAAAGAGCCGACGGAGAACCAGCTCCCATAAGCTCATGTAATCTCTTAATGTTCCCAACTCCACAATGAACTTCCAAAGCTATATTCGAATCTGCTAAGATTAAACTATTTTCTTTTGCATTTTTTTTCTCTATTTTCTTCTGTTCTTATGGCTGCTGTTAGAATTTTTATTCAATTAGTTTAATAGCCTTTTCATTTTGATTTGATGATTACATTTAGATTAATGAAAATAGTACTGTATTGAAGGTTAATGTTCGTATGAAGGTTGATAATCGATTAGGCAGATTTTATTTCCTGTTTATGTCTTTTATGTTCACTGGAATTTGAATTGAATAAATGTCGAGTAGATGCTTGTTGTTTCTGATGTTCGAGTTAGAGGATTAATGACTTGAACTCTTCTCAGATAAGTGGTCTATTCATAAAAGATGAAATAAGATTTTGTAAATCAAATGATAATGTTTCAAAATAAATAAACAAAATAAAGAAATGATAAATAATAAAATGAAAGTAAGGATAAGGTAATGATAAATATTGGTAGGATAGATTTATTGTTCTTGTCTTTTATTAGCATTTTTTTATTTGATTAGTTGATTGTTATTATGCTTCTTCAGATCCCCATGTGGGCCCCCCCTATTGGACCCGGGAGAGGGGTGCCTAACCCCTTCCCTCTCCCATCCGAGTTTTACCCGGACCCCTTCGGGCTAATGGAGTCACTATTAAACCAAAATGATTTTGATACCATTCTTGGAGGTTCTATCACCTCCATTTTCCAATCTGATGGGTGGTGACTCCATTTCCAGCCCAAGTGGCAAGTGAGCCTGTTTTCCCGATGCTCATAGTAATTACACCTTAAGTTCAAACTTTGGAAACTGAAGCAAATATGCAATTTATATTCAAAATTTAAACCTAGTGTCAGAGTTGAAGATGAAAATCGGTACCCATACATTGACTTCAAGGTATTAGACCGAAATAAATAAGAGGCAACATAAGAAACTAGCTTTTTTGAAAGTTGAAACCAGCTATTGGGGACTACTTTTTAGAAATGAAGTTTAGGACAAATTGAAAAGTCACAATATACACCCCAAAATGGATTTAAAAACCAAGCCCTGCACTTCATTAATATCAAGTTTAAAAGAAAGAAAATCAATTTTGTCATCCATCTTTAATTTCAGTTTGACAACCCAAATCCTAATTCAACTTCCATGGCCAAGTTTTAAAAAATATTTTTTGTACTTTGATCTAAAAATGATGCCCGGAGAATGATGATTAATCCAAACATCCTTCTTATCCTGTGAATCAGAAAAATGACTCTCAGGATTATTTTACCAAACATGTCATTATTTCTGAGAATCAGTATTATAGAGAAAAATCAGGAACACACAGTTGATGCCATTCACAACCTTGGTTTCTATTGCTTTGCTATTTTCTTCTTAGCCTGCTTTATCCTAATTTTTCCAAAGGAGTTCATAAATATTCAACTTTGCAGGGTCAGGAGTTAGTGATCAAAGATGTTCTTCCACATAGTGTTGGAACGAAACATGCAACTACACCCTCGCCACTTTGGCCCCAATCTCCGTGACAAACTTGTTGCCAAGCTCATGAAAGATGTTGAGGGCACTTGCAGGTTCCCTTTGCTCCACTCACTTCAACCAAATTGCAATTTTAGCTGTAAACCCATAGCTTTGTATTGTATTTTGTTTTCTTAAATATTTTGCAGTGGTCGGCATGGATTCGTGGTGGCAATTACAGGTGTAGATAACATTGGTAAAGGACTGATTCGTGATGGGACTGGGTTTGTTACATTTCCTGTCAAGTATCAATGTGTTGTGTTTAGGCCTTTTAAGGGGGAGATTTTGGAGGCCGTTGTAACCATGGTCAATAAGGTCTATATTTATTGAAGTCATTTCTTTGGATTTTACTTGTAAGCCATTGTGCTACAATTGTTGGCAGTTATATTTGACTATATTTGGAACATTTGCAGATGGGTTTCTTTGCTGAAGCTGGGCCTGTTCAGATTTTTGTGTCAAACCATGTAAGATCCTTCTTGATCTTGTTATAACAATGTACTTTTTTTTTTCATTTATTGGTGTCTACATGGATGTCATACACATATGAGATAGAACCTATCCTATCGTTTGTTTTTCACTTTAAAAATGTACAAAATATTAATCGTTGCTCATACAAAAAATATACCTTCATCCAACCAATTTGTATTGAATTATTTAATATTGGATGGGCATGAATATAGAACTTTATTAGAAAGGTACTAGAATGTGAAATGACGGATATCATGTTGCAATAAAATGAACATCAAGCTGGTGAATGACCCAATTAATTGATTAAATAGTTCAGTTAAATCTATTGACATCTCCCCACAAAATTATCTGGACTTTGGATACGTGTTCATATGACCCTTACTTTTTCCTTTATTCTATGTTCCTTAGATACTTTAAAACTAGCTTCAATCCATGTTGGGTAATTAACATTCACTACTTAATTTGCTATCCAATTGTATCAATATTTTGTCATTGCTTGATCTGGGTAACATTGCTTTTATCCACTTATTCTTTAAATAGTTGAGTGAACACTCCTATTGCGATTCTTCTTATGAAGCTTAGCCATTTTTTTCCTACTTATTTTATTTTCTATATGTATAATGCTTCTATCTGCTCTTGTATTTCAGTTGATACCGGATGATATGGAGTTTCAGTCTGGAGACATGCCAAACTATACGACTTCAGACGGATCTGTATGTTTTGGAGCATGGCTTCCTCTTGCATTAAATGTAATTCATATAATTTCACTTCACAAATGTTGACTTCAAAACTTTCTCTTGAGCTGTTTCAGGTTAAAATTCAAAAAGATAGTGAGGTTCGCTTAAAGATAATTGGGACAAGAGTAGACGCCACAGAAATTGTATGCCCTTTATCTTTTTTATCTCTGAAACAAAAATTCCTTGATAGTGTTTCTTCATAATGAAATCTGAAAAGGGGAGCTGTTGCTGTGCAAAAGATCATCTTCACCCTAGATTTGGCTAAACCATTTGCTGTGGAGTTCCATTGCTTGGTAACCAACCCATTTGCATGCTCCACTAATGGTTGTCTTTGTAAACAAATGACAGAATTTTATTAAAATGAACTGGAAGTATTTACAAATGAAGCATCCCTTGGAGATGAAACAAGCTGTTGTGTCTCCTACATAGCATTATGTTACAATTGAGCCAATACAACTGATCCATGTTAACCCCTTGCTTGGCTAATGTGACAGCCAGCCCATTTATGCTTTTTGAAGTTCTTAGTACCCATTGTATTCTTAAGTTCATATTCCTTGTCTGCCATTTGATTTTCCTTAACACATATAATGTCTCTGTAAGAGCATACTGTTTTTTCCTCATCTTTTAGCCATCCAACCACCACCTTAGAGTCTCTCTCAATAATTAATGTATCCAAATTCATATATATATATATATATATTTCTATTTGTACTCCATGGAGTACAGCATAAAGTTCAGTCCTCGTAGAGTCTCCAACCCCAATAGGACATGAAAATGGAGCTATGATATGACCATTATCCCTAAGCAGCCCTTCCATTCCTGAGGGTCCCGAGTTTTTTTTGATGAATCTGTGGGTCCCGAGTTTTCTGAAGCTACTCTTGTCAAAGTTTAGTTTATGAAACTTTGCTCAGGTGGTTCCCATTGCATTTGAGCTATCTTCTTTGATGAAGTTGCTCTACTAATGGTTATTTCTCTTACTTCATTTAAGGGTATGTTTGGCGAATAAGTAGTTTGAGAAATAAGTACTTTTTTGTGTTTGGGGATCCTTTCCCAAACCACTTACACTTATTTGGGTTACAGTGTTTGGTTAACCACTTAACCAATAAGTACTTTTTTTTTTGTAGAAATGACAATTAAAGTCCTTAAAAATGCATATACATGTTATTTTATGATTATTATATTAAAACATTCTGATGAAAATGTGTTTAGAACTCACCAACCCATAGATCACTGCTGGCTAGGTGGTTTAACTCTTTTCCAATCGCAGATCTAGGGAAAAATGGTGCAAAAATGGGTTTATAACCCACCAAACCAAAGAAGATTGCACAAAATGGAGAAGAAACGTAGAAAAAATGGGAGATTTCACATACCTGAAGCATGAAGTTGCTTGAGTTGCAGTTTGCCACTGCCGTAGAAGCTCCTTGCCCAGAATGGTTTCTATTGTCTTCTCTAAACCCAGGGGCAATCAATGAAAATTTAAAAAAATTTGTGGGGACAGTTGCTTCTTTTAAACCCAGGGGCAATCTAAACCCAGCTGGCTCAGTTGCTTTTTTTAAGCACGTACTTTCAAAATAAGCACTTATTTTGGGATTTTTTGCCAAACATGAATAAGTGCTTATTTTCCACTTATAGTGTGGTCTCACCACTTATTTTAAGTACTTGTTTGAATAAGTACTTAAAATAAGTTTTCCCATACAGGCACTAAGAGATGCTGATCTTCAAGGCCCACTACCTACACTTAAGCTCCATGTGATTACTTTGGTTGAATCACTTTTGATAACTAAAGAGGGTAAATGGAGGTGTTTCGCTTTGTTGGTTCCACTGTGAGGGCTCTTTCTTTGGCTTCCATAGAATTTGTCATTGATGGGTTGGCCCATAGAATGCTTCATCCAGCCTTGAGAAACACCTTTAGTGCTGACTTCTTTGGGCTTTATGATTGAGTTACCATCTAAGCATCTAAACACAATATTGCGAGGCCATGAAGAGGGGGTTAACACCTCCAAGGGGTAGGGTGCTAGGAAATAATTTAAATCTCAGGTAGGTTTGTTCACATTATCGTTTAGGTTACTCCTTTGAACTTTGGTGTAGATAACATCCAAGACCAAAGAAGGTCGAGGATCCTACCGATAAAGCTTTGGAGGAGGACTTGTTATTAAAGATTCTCCTATTTCCTTTCTTCCTATATGCCTACATTACTACATGAATTATTGCCTTTTTGCTTTGTTCTCCAAGATGGATCCTTTTCCAACATCATTGCTTAACAATGGATCATGAGGATACCGTTGTTGACCAACCAAGTGTTTTAAAAGTCAGAGGTGCAAGGCACAGGATGTGATGAGTGCCCAGATGAAGCAAGGAAAAAGATTTTGAAATACTAAAAAAGATAAACTAATACATAAAAGTATGGACAACTTTAATTTTGAAGGAAATTAAATGTATTAATATTCTTATCAAACAAATGTGGATTGTACTAAGGTGCTTCAAGCACTCAACAACTCAAGAGTCAAGCATGTAGAACGGTCAACATATTTCTCTATTTCCTAGTTTCATTATGTCAACTGGCTAGTTTGATGTCATTCATCTTTCAATCCTAATCCTAAGAGGTTGGGGCTTTCATAGAGGTGGAGGGCTGATGGGTGGGCCCAAATAAGCCCATATAGCGGTTCAGGTGCAGCATTCTTGACCTGAGTTTTTCGTCTATATATAATGGGGATGGTTTTGTGATTTTGGTTGCAGTTCATTTTATTTTAGGGTTAGGGATCAGAGATTAGTTCTATTTTTGTTGCTTCTTTAATGGGATTTTTCGTTATCTGAGATCCTATCTGCAACAGCTAGGGCTTTAGACGTTCAAAAGGTCTTTGTTTTCTTGTTTCTTTTAAAGGTTAATAAACACAAGCATCAATGGAAGGTAATTTAGAAGTTAATTGACTATTACATGGTAATTTAGAAGTCCAGTTTCCCATGTTGTTCTCTATTTCTAACCGTAAGAATGAGACAGCCTCTTCTTTTTTGATTCCTTCTGACTCAACCTTCGGGTATGACTGGGATTTGGGCTTTAGACGGGGGCTAAGAGATTCTGAATTGAACTGTGTTGGTTTTGATCAAACTGTTACAAGGAATCTTCTTTGATCCCTCTAAGTCGGACAGTAGAATATGGACCCTTGCCCCCCTTCTTGATCGTTTTCCTGTGCCTTTTATAGGCCTTGTCTCAATCTTCGGCAAACCTGAGATTAAATTTTCCTGTTAAAGAAGTGTGGGGAAGGTCAATCCCTCAGAGAATAGGGGCCTTCTGTTGGGAAGCTTTTTTGGGGAAGATCAATACCAGTGATATACTTAAGACCGTCTTGGTGCCTGTCTCCTAACTGGTGCATTCTCTGTAAAGCCAATGCTGAGAACTGCTATCACTTGTTAATCTCTTGTCCTTTTGTTCTTTCTATTTGGGTTTGGTTTGCTTCTTTGTTTGGTTGCAGGTGAACTTCTCCTCTGGACTTGTTTAGCTGTTCACTTCCTCAGTAACTAGTGGGATGAAGAGAAGGGGCAGAATTCTGTGGAGATGCACCAGAGCTGCTATATGCTGGACAGTTTGGGAGGAAGAATAAAGAAAGGAGCTTCAGTGCAATTGTGGAGGTGGTTACAGGTAAAGTGCTACATTGGGTGAAATCCCTGAAATTATTTGAAGGTATTTCAACAGGTTTGCTGCTTAATAATTGGGAGGAAGTGACTAAATCAGCACCAAGTAAAGATGATCCTTCCCCAGTGTGGTCTCCACCAGTTGAAGGATTTATTAAATTAAATTTTGACGGAAGAAGTGAAGGTAACCCAGGACCTTCAGGTATTTGAGGTGTTTTTAGGAATGAGGAAGGACAGGTTTTGGCACTTTTTTCCTGAGACAGTGGGTGGAGGAGACTCTCTCAGGGCAGAGGTCTTGGCTGTGTTGGAAGGGATAAGAAGAGCAAAACAATTAAATGTACAAAACCTAATCATTGAAGGTGACTCCAAGGTAGTTATTGGATGGCTGAACTGAATAAAGAAGAGAATGAACTTTGGGAATATGCAAATGAAAAAAGGAATTTAAGTGGCTGTCAAGTGGTATGGTTGTAAGGTTTCATTGTGTTAAAAGAGTGCTGACTCATTTGCTGATGCCTTGGCTAAACAGGGGGTGGGAAGGGCTCATTCGTTGTGGGCATATATGTAATCTTTGACTGTATCTTTTCTGTCCTTGGGGAGGGCTAAGAGAGTTTATCCCTTCCCGTGGATGCTGTATTTATTATTATATTTTAATTAATGAAATTTTGGTTATTGATAAAAAATAGACCATTACATGGGTGTAAAATACATAAAGAATGTAAAATAAGTAAAATAAAGGAAACTTGTAAGAGGTGTGTGTATGTGTTTGGGTTGACTTGCAAGGAACACCAGGCACACACCTAGGCACTCCAGGTATGTGGCCTTTAAATGGGGCATCATCTGGGTTCAGGTGAGGCACATGACAATGCCTTACCTGTACACGAGCACTCTTTTTAAAACAGTGGACCAACTAAACCCAAGAAGAAATGCCAAAGTTGTGTCATGACTTCATGATGCAAAGGAAGGCAGTTTGCTGAATCTCCTTCTAAGACACAAGATGCATACTAGAAGAGAGATATAATGCTGTTTTAGTTTCTTCCTCTGAAACAAATTGCAAATGTTAATGCACCCACAGGGCTTTCCATATAATGGAGACCCTTAGTGGGATCGATAAGAGCCATAGACAGTATCATTTTCAGCCCATAAGAAGAGTTAAGTGGGGTGGTGCAAGTAACTTCTTCACCCAAAATTCTGTTGATATTTCAAAGGAAAAGAAGCATTTAGAGCGAAGGGAGCTTCAAGGAAGTAATGGTGGTTTGAGGGTTTTGGAGTGCAAACAAACTGAGGTGAGGGGGGAAGGGGAGTTCCGTTGGCACATCACAAGGTACAAATACAAAGAGGAAGAATCATTCAAGATTGATGGAAATCATACAGTTAAGGAGGTGTTTGATCAAGAAAAAGCGTTGAAGAATGTCTTTGAAGAAGAAAAGGATGCTGAAGATGTTGCCGTTGCAGACTGAGAGGTAGAGCAGTCCAAGGCTGGGGCCAAGATGTGGGCATGGAGAGATGCATATAGGGGGGTGGTAATAGGCTGCCAGTTGACGAAAAACATTTTGAGGTATGTATGTTTGCTTCTGCAATTGATTTAAGCTGCCGGTTTTAATGAAAGTGAGGTGGGGATCATTGATTTTTCTCAAAGTTCCCAAGTAGGAGTTGGGGGTTAAAGGAACAAGGATTTGGTCTGAAGTCTGTAAGGAAGTAAATGAAGTTTTAACTAGTGGGGAAGCTGATAGAAGAACTTTTGACTGAAGTGTAAGTAAAGGACAGTTTTGAGGAAGGATTAGGAGGAGCAGAGGATGGTAGAGGTGAAAAAGGGAAGAGAGAGAAAGTGCTTCATGAAGAAGAAAGGGAAGTAGATAGGAATTCCAGGGTGGAGAGGGAGGAGGGGGAGATCTCGTTAAGGAAGCAGGGCAATTTGAGCTGGGGGGAATGGGAGGGGTTGAAGTTGGTGAGTAACAAGTGTTTATGTTAGAAGATGTTGAAAGTAGGAGGGGGGAAGAAGAAAGAAAATTAGCAGGATCATATTCTAAGGCTTATAAAAGAAAGAGGGAGTGCAGAACAAGACCATTACAAGAGAAAGACGAGAAAGAGAAGGAAGGCAATTGAGAAGAAGAGATTACAATGGATGAAATCCATGTAATTGAAAAAAAGAATTAATTGGAAAAGAATTGTGAACATGGAAGTTGAAGTGAGTAAATCTTTGGTCATTTATTTTTGGGGAGAGAGGATTCCAATGCCTTTGAGGGAGGTTGGAATTGGAAAGGAATCAAAGGATTAATAAGAGCCTAAGGCTTTGTCATTTATCAGAAAAAAGAGTCTAAGGTTTTGTTGGAGCTCAGGAAGGATGCTCTAGCAGTTAAAAAAATCAGAAACCAGAGTAAGCATCAGGATGTCTTGGTGTCAAATGTCTTTGCTAGATTAAAAGGGGATTTGTTTGGGATTGGAAAGGAGATGAAGCTCAAAAAAGCCTCAAGGAAGAAGTAATTTGTTCGGGGTATAAACCCATGGGTGTCTGGCTTTTCTAATTGGGCACTCCTATAATTCTTCTACTACATTCTGCCATGTTGTCACCTGATTTTAGTATTTCTTGATACCTTTAAACCTATATTTTCCTAGTCAAGGAGAAGAGTCCTAAATTCTCTTGATAATATTGGGTGCCTCTTGACCAAACCAAGTCGGAAAAGCCATGCCATCGGCAAGTTTCTTTTTACTTCTAGGGGTTAAGCCTATCAATTGTAGTAGTCTGGATCAAGGATTAAAACACCAAAAGCACATCAGAGAGCTGAGGCCAGTTTTCTGCATTATGTTTTTCCTTTTGTTCTCTGATCTCATCTATGGGACAAACTACTGGTTTTATTATCTCATTTCTTTTGGTGTTGATGAAAATCGAGATCATGCCATTTGTGTGGATTTATTCACAGGTACAAATGTATGTATGCAGATGTATTTATTTATGCAAATTAAATGTACTGTAAATTTTAGCATGGCCATAGGGAGACCTTTCACTTTGGTCAGATAAATTTTAGCATGGCCATACAATTCTGTAAATTCGTAATGGCTTTTTTTTTATGAATGATTGTATTTCTCAAATGATGTTTTGGTCCATTCTTTGCAGTTCTGTATTGGTACCATTAAAGATGATTTCTTAGGTGTCATCAATGATCCTGGTGCAGCGGCTTAGTGGGATCAATCCAGAGAATGTTCCAGAAAGATCTAGTAGCATATATATTTTGTATATCACATCCATCTGTAGCAGTTGCTTTGGAACACTTAGGTTTCTGAATGTTCTGGGGAGATGTACTAAACGTCAGAAACTTGTGTGGCTTTTTGAAGATGGCATGAGTTTTAATTGTGTATAGGAAGGCATTAGTACACAGGCCATTTTTAGTTTAGATCTGCAGGGTCCTTTGCTTGTGGTAAAATTTGATATTGGATGCAGGTTTGAGCTTTGTGAGTAAATGCCACAAATCAAATTGGATATGGATATGTATAAAAAAACTGGATATGGGTAGTCCAAATTTTGTTCCTTTATGTAGGTGTTGGCATTAATGCTGTTGCTTCAGAGCCGTTTTTGAGAAAACAGTGCTGAATGGATGAGGGTCTGTTGCACCGTTTTCTTAGAAAACAGCTCATTTTTTTGTTTGGCATCGGAGCTGTCAGAGGATGTTTTCTGGGGAAACAACACTGGTTTTGGTTGTTACCAGTGATGTATAACCGTTTTCAGCATTGATCTACATTATCCAACACTGATGCCACATTATTGTACTGTTGTCAGCAACAGTTCCGAAAACGAGAAAACACCAAATTTGATGTTGTCTCAAACCATGCCTTCTCGATTTTCATAGTGTGGTCTAGGGCAATGTTTTTTATGGAAAAATGGAACCAAATATCTTGCTGTTCTCTAGGGCAACGTTTTCTGATGTGGTGCTGTTTTCTGGGGCAATATCATTGACGCCAAACACCGATGGATATGGGTAGTCCATCAGATTTATATCAAATTCCAATTCCTTGCAGTTGGATATTGAATAGTATGAATAAACTAAACTAAATTGTATTTGATGAACCAAATAAATTAAAAATTACATGAAACTTGAACATATGACAATTTAGGAAAAACATAACATTCAAATCAATATAGATGCATCGAATCCGGATTACCCTGTCATGTTTGGACAAATGAATACCGTTTGCAGCCCTAATCCATATCTAGTCCACCCCTCTCAAGTCCCCAGATAAAGATTATTATTGGAATAGTTAATGGCCTCTGCCTTTCCATGGATTAGGTAGTTGAGTTTCTGTGTACACATCCCTGTTACCCTTCAGGCAATGTATCAAATGCCCATAGAATCAGCTTTGTTAATGGAATGATGGAAAAACTTGGGATCTGTTTGATTCACAGTCAAAATTGGAGTCCAAATTAGAATGATCTATTCGCATATTTTGTTTGGGATTTCATTTTCAAGGGAGGGGTAGAGAATCACTATCCATCAAATGGGGGAATTTAATTTCGCTAGAGATGGGAATGAAATTTCGATTCTGTCCAATTAAATAGTTGGTCTGATTCCGATTTGGAGGCTTCTGAACCAAATAGGCTCTTGCTAAATTAGGACGCTTTATTTGAATTTACTCGTCATACTAGTGTCATAATTATAATAAGTGATGGAGGTAGTGGAAGATACTGGGTGTGACTTGGCAGGAACGCCAGATCGACACAGTGACATAGCAACAACCGTATTCCAAGAAGAGGCCCGAGCTTCCCGAGCTCCCCAAAAGGAACCCACACTTCTCGAGAGGTGAAACCTGAGCTCTCCCTAAGAATCCCGAGGCTAACAAGGAAACCTGCGAGGGGCAAAGCCTGGACTAGCCCACCTCGGGTCAGTCCGGGCCACACCCCGGCACCTCGGGACAGTGGGCCATACTCTCATCCGAACTCAAGACTTCACCTCATGCACCACTCTGGCACCTCGGCCCCAGGTCGTGCAACTGTAAAAATGTGCTTGACAGGTCCGTACTCTGAGGCAGCACGCCTGACTGGTCAAGACTTGACAGATGATAATCACACTGTAACGGCCACCTGCTACCGCCATCTCAGTTGTTGCAGGGATGACCCTGACAAAGAGGACAGTGGCGGTTATGTCTGCCCCCCATAGAGNCTGTAAAAAACCGTACCTAACAGAGGTCCGTGCTCTGAGGCAGCGCGCCTAACTGGTCAGGATCTGACAGATGATAATCACACTATAATGGCCACCTGCTACCGCCATCTCAGTTGTTGCAGGGACAGCCCTGACAGAGAGGACAATGGCGGTTATGTCTGCCCCCTTACAGAGGCGGTTACACCTGAACTGGCAGAAGCTTGGGAGTGAGTGCACCAGGTGGTTATAAAAGACCTTCTTCCCCCAAGAAAAGAGGTAGGCAATATTCGTGCTTTCTGGTCTTAAAATCCCTTATTTTCCTTGCCTTCTCAAGAGTATTAACTTGAGCTTCGGAGTATTCGCACCAGGTTCCTCCCCGAAAATCTCTTATTTCTTCCTTGTTTCAGGCATCTTCAGTTCCGTCAGAGGCAAGGTTACCGACAACTAAGACCGACCGGATCGTGCATCATCAATTGGTGTCGTCTGTGGGAATGCTTCAAATGCAGCAATTTCAACAACACCAACTCTATCAGCAGCAAGTACTACACCACATTTCTCAGTACATCTACCAACAACAGTTCCCCCAACTGCCTCAGAACCAGCCACAACTCCCACCTCGGCACCCTGCTGTCAGGCAAGTCAAGCCCTCTCCTCAAGGCGGGCGCCTTCACTGAGGGGAAGCTTCCCAGGCTCAAAACCCCTCCAGAAGTCAGGCCTCATCCCTTGGCAGGAGGGAAAGACTAGCTACTCTCGCTTCGCAGCTCGCCGGCGGATCTAGAACCTCCTAGCCAATCAAGTCAGCACCACCTCAGCGCTCTAAGTTCAGGCTCCTGCTCGCGGAGAACCAGTTCGGCGCCTTGGCCGCAGACTACCACTAGTAGTCCGGGCCCATTGATCTCGGCAACACCGAAGCAAGCAGTGCCAATACCGAACCTTCCAAGCAGCAGCGGAGGCACCGATGAAGTCGCCGAACTACCACCCACGTCCTGCCCGAGCTCCGAGGTAAAGAACAAGAAAGCTCGGATGAGGTAAAGGTTGCTCCTATTCTTTCAGTCCCTTCCCCCCTGTCATCAGAACTCCTCGTTGTTCCCATGCCCAAAGATTTCAAACTCCCCCCGCTAGACAAATATGATGGGTTTTTCGACCCCAGTGACCATGTTGATGCTTTCCAGTCCCAGATGCACCTGGAGAGGGCCAGCGAGTCCTGCATGTGTGTGGCCTTCACTACCACCTTCAAGGGAGTGACCCGCACCTAGTATAGGAACCTGGCCCCTGGGTAGATAAGGAGCTGGACCCAGTTTGTGCAAGTCTTCACCGCGCACTTTGTCACCAGCAAGCGGTTTCCCCGAACCGAGGAGAGCCTCCTCGGGATAGTCTAGAAGGAAGGAGAATCCATCCGGGGCTATATCAAGCGGTTCAACGACGCGTGCTTACAGATACCGCGCCTAGACCCCGCAGTACAGCTTGCGGCGGCCAAGAGGGGTGTGACGCACAAGGAATTCAAATGGCACATTGTGGTCAGCCAGCCCGCAACCATAGCTGAATTCCTCAAACTCGCGAACAGATTCATAAGAACGGAGGAGGAGATCAACCAAAGAACTGAGGCGGGTTTGAAAACAGGAAGAGGGAAGGCGAACCTCCCAACCAAGATGACAGGAGGAAGAAAGACTCAGCTCGGGGGGCGAAGCCGAGCCAGCCGTTCCAAGCTCCCATGGCAGATCGGGCGGACTACATGCCCTTGAACGCGAAGCAGGCTGAGATCCTGATGACGATCAAGGACGCCCCGTACGTGAAGTGGCCACCTCGTCTGAAAGCGAACCCGAATTAGAGGAATAAAAATTTGTACTACAGCTTTCATAGAGACCATGGTCATAGCACCGAACATTGTAAGAATCTCCACGACGAGATAGAGAAACTTATCCGTCACGGGTACCTAAGAAATTTTGTACAACATAATAATAATACTAATAAAATAATAATAATAATAATAATAAGGCAGGTCGGCAGGGGGAGAACAGTAGAGACGCCTCCGAATCTAGCAACCAGCCAGTAGAATAGTCACAGAAGCAGCCCTCGGAGGAAAGGCCAGTTCGAGGAACGATCCATGATTGTAGCAGGATGCACCTCGGCAGCAGCTCGGGAATCAACCCGTGAGGCCGCCAGAGAAGAACAAAATCCCCCAAAGCGGCCGAGGACGGAAGACCCCATATTCTTCACCGAGGACGATGCGCGCGGGGTTCACTACCCCCACGACGACGTGCTCGTCATAAAGGTAAAGATCAATGACATTGAAGTCCGGCGCATACTCGTCGACTCTGGCAGTTCGGCAGACATCCTTTTCAAAGCAGCCTTCGACAAACTCCAATTCCGAGAGAGTGACTTGAAGCCCGTGAACACCCCGCTGGTTGGCTTCAGCGGAGAGGAGGTCAAACCCCTGGGAAAGGTCACAGTCTCTGTGGAAGTCGGCACGTGGCCTATCACAGTAAGACTCAAGCATGACTTCTTTGTGGTTGCAACCCCCTTCCCATACAATGCCATAGTAGGTCGGCCGATCACCCACTTTTTAAGAGTTGTGGTGTCCACCGACTCTTTAGCCATGAAATTCCCCACGTAATTCGGCATTGGGATAGTGCGGGGCGACCAGCTCGAGTTCCGCAAGTGCTACGTCGCCGCCCTCAAGGGAAAGGCCAAGGTGACCAGCGACCTCGAGCTGGAGCGACTCGTGGAACAGAACGAGGAGCGAGCTACGCCCATGGAGGGGACTGTTCCCATCCCTGCCTCGGTAGAGGACCCAACCAGATCACATCAGGTCGGTGCATCCCTGGAGGAGCCCTTGCGATCCAAACTGGTACGCTTCTTACTCAATAACTTAGATGTTTTCGCTTGCTTCGCGGCAGAAATGTCCGGCATAGACCCTAACCTTATAACTCACAAACTCAATACTGATCCTATAGTTAGGCCCATTAGACAGAAGAAACGCAACCTAGCCCCAAAATGATGGCGGGCGGTGGATGAGGAGGTCGAGAAGCTCCTCGCAACAGACTTCATAAGGGAAGTTCATTACCCGAGCTGGGTAGCCAACTCCGTTCTGGTTAAAAAGACAAACGGAAAGTGGCACATGTGCGTCAACTACACTGACTTGAACCGAGCTTGCCCGAAAGATTGCTTCCCCCTCCCTAGGATTGACCGCCTAGTGGATGCATCCTCGGGGCACAAGTTGCTAAGCTTTCTGGATGCATACTCGGGCTACAACCAAATTAGGATGGACCCGGCCGATGAGAAGAAAACCGCCTTCATAACCGAGTTCGGTCTATACTACTACAAGGTTATGCCCTTTGGACTAAAAAATGCTAGGGCAACCTTTCAAAGGCTTGTGAATAAGCTGTTTCAACCCTTAAT